TATAATATTATCAATTCTTGGACAAAAATGTTATGATACCTAGAGATAGAGTTGGGCTGAGGATGAATTGGTGCAGCTTTGTATACTCTACCGTTTGGGAGTAGAATATGCTTGTTTTGTACATGAACTTCCATTTTTTTAATGTACTTACAAGCCCCTATTACCAAATAATACCATCCACACTTGAAGTCAAGACCATCCAATTATGTTCTATGTCCCAATTAGAAAGCTGTCATTCAGACAGCCCCACTGTAGTGACTTCCTCCCATCCTCAGGGTGGAAGGAAAATGTCATTTTGACAACTGCTACTCCCACGGTTGTTCCGTGCCTCAGGAATGAGGCTCATAAAGTTGCTGCTCTCTTTTAAGGATGTCAGTGATGCTCTCCAGAAAGCTGCCAGGGTAGGACCAAGAGGAAGGAACAGCAGCACTACCATGAGAAGAACAGGAGAGAAAAGAGCTCTACCCATGCCACTTTACTCTACCCCTCTGCTCACCCACGTGGAGCAGTTTTCCCACAGCCAGTTTTCATTTCCCATCCATTTCAAACAGAAAGGAGAGGAGACACCATTAGCTTTCCGCACTCAACTCCTTTCAGGTGATTCTGGGCAAAGTCTCGCCCTCTATCAGGCTATTTCAAATTACTGAGTTTGCTTAATAAGGGCATTGCCCTAATGTAGATTCTAGGATTTTCTTATGGCTAATGTGTTCTTATACCTTTTGTAATTTGTGTGCATATATGAGAAAGAGAGAGAAATGAGATCCATAGCATATTAAACTAGTATTTAGAGAGTAAACAATCAGAACCGTAGGATAAGTAAAAGTTACTGGTGAAGTTCTGTTTTCTGCTTACTGGTAGGAATAACAACCTCATGGAAGGCCCACATTGTGGTTTTCCATGAGGTTGGTATTCCTCTCACTATACCACAAAAAAGAAATGAAGAAGACAGCAGCCCAGGAGTGGCACCTGCTCTTTCTAACAGCCACAATGCAGTAGAAATGGCCACAGAGGCAAGGAGCCTTATAGCCAGATGGGAGGAGAGGGTCCTGCAGCAGACCCAGCAGCTCATCGACCCTTTGAAGACAACTCTGCAGAGTGACATAGAATGTCTGCATGGACCTTCTTCTGCTTTCCCACAAAAAACATCACTTTCCTGCTGGGTCATCTTGAACTGCCTTCCATCTACCTCAGCACCGGATAGGCAACCAGAGGCCAGCTCAAGAAATGATACGTAAACCATCTTGGAACTGGGGTTCGAAGGCCAAGATGATGAGCCCAGGGAATAACCTATGTTCAGAGCAAAACGTTTTTTTAAAAGTGCCATACAGTTCATGTAATATAGGTATCAATGCATTGATGCATGCCTTGATACAAAGGTAATAAATAATCATTGAATGAGGAAATAGAAAACTCTTACAGTATATATGTTACCATACTATTTTTTCAGAGAATGTATAAACAAAGGCAGGATTTATCAGAGCTCTCAGAATATCATCTGCCATTTCTTTTATATACAAGAATTCTCTAGGTTTTGCCATATTGGCAATTCTTGAGGTTTTTCTTTATAAATGCTGTTGCACATTTATTCCATTTATAGACCACTTACTTAGTAACTTTTGCCACCTCTTAATTAGGAAACGGGGTGCTTTTGTAAACAATTATACTCAATTGTTTAAAAAATAAACATGATTAAAATATAGCTTCCCATTTAACACCAAATGTCTTTCTTAATTTCAGAAGAATTCAATTAGTTATGGGTAAAGGAAACCAATTTCTTGCATATTGCCCACAGCTATCTTGAGTACATGTATATATATTTAAATTAACTAGCATGGAGTCATAAGAACAACACTTTACTGATAATAATCAAATATGTCCAAATATAATGGGACATCAATGCAGCATCTTAAAATTATGATTAAGCTACAACATACAGAAAAGTGGGGAATATGTTACAAAAGATGGTCCAAAGTACTTCTCAGTTAAGTTTTACCAGCCTTTTTCAAAGTATATTCATGAGCTTCCATTGTGCAGAGTTGACCACTCATTCTTCTACTTCATATAATTTGTCTTTCTTCAGCCTTTTTGGCTTCTGTTCCCTGTTCCCAATCTCTCCTTAATTAGGTGTTCCTTCTGTGTCCTCCCCTCTCTCTGTTTGCTAGTAATCAGCTACAAAAATGGAAAAGGCCCCAACAGAGTAGTGATTTTCCTCTGTCTTGATGACACACATTATTTCCGGACCAAAAAACCTCATTAAGGATACGGAACGGGAGTTGTAAAGTCTTAATGAAATGCTCCTGGAGGAGCAAGAAAATCTTATTACAAGAACTTGCTAGTCATTAAGGTAAAAAAAAAAATTAAGTCCTGAGTTAAAGAAAAAGTTAGGAAAATGTAAGAACTGAAATGTAAGCTTTTATTAATTACCTCTTGGAGTTGGCTTTATTTACTATTTGCAATTTCTATTGTACCAAGATCAAACACTTCCTCCAACCTCTGCAAACAATATAGCAGAGGCAGGCAATGTGGTGTTCATGGTCATCTCCCTGCCAGAATTATTGCTCCCTTTGAACTTGTTTTTAAAAAATCTTTTAATTAAAAATAAATAAACTGGCATGCTGAGAGCAAAGGCACTAGACTCTAGCATAGCATCACCATCCCTCTTGACAGGAATATGATTGGGTTCATGCAGTCTATGCACCCAGAGAAAAGGCAGAAAGTATACAGGGTTGCTCCAGACCATTGGTGTGGGAAAGGCCCAGAGGAGATGATGGGGAACTTCATTTGCCTGCTTTTTGGCAGATGGGTGCTTTGCAGCTGAGCACTGTCACCATGGCAACCTTTTTGGGAAGAGATCAGCCCCTTGGTACCATTTTGTTAAGGTATTCATGGCATGCTCTCAACATTCAGAATGTACCTACTCCTTCCAAAAGTTTACCTATCCTTGTACAAAGTTCTGGGTCTGTGAAACTTTAGCACTACTGTATAAATGTGGATCAGAAACAATTCAAGCCTTCCCTAAAGGTACTTTGGTTCTTCCATTCTCTTAAGCAAATGGTGAACTAAAACATAAGCAACTGCTGAAACAACAATGTGATATGGGGTTTCTGATCCCGATATTTTATGAACTATGGTGGGTGTTGATGGCCTACAGGCACCCTTACCACTGGGAGGGGGGGAAATAAATTATTATTTTATTGACATTCCTGCTGCCAAAAAGTTGAACTGTTGCGACTGAAAAGGTGGAGCAAGCAAGTGTATATTCTGCTAGCTGAGTCTGAAAATCTGAATAGATGCCCACAGCAAGAACTCTCTGCTTGGGAACTTCGAACATGCCGAGACTGTAGCTTAGCCATGTGTTTTTCTTCCTCAGCTTGGAGATGAGTAAGAGGCAATACACCTTTGCCAGAAAATAAGAGTTTGTCAAGATGGATCATCTAAAACCCCAGCAAAAGGAGCAGGGGGAAAAAGGCTATGAAGAGATAGGAATATGAAATGGTGAGGGATCAAGCAGTGAGGGATCATAGCCCCTCTGGTCCCAACTATCTTTTCCTGAGCTAATCTTTGCTGTAAGAAGGATTGCATATATTCCAGCTTTTAAAGATGAGGACAGGATGCTTCCATGTGAGAAAACATGGTATAATAAAAAGATCAGGCAAGGATCTGCAGATCCTGGCTATCCTGTCTGCTAAGATAACATAGCATTAATAATATATTGGAAGGAAGAGTATGGGGTGAGGGAATTATAATGGCATTAAGCCAAAATATGATACGTGAATCTAACCATTGGACCACAATTATCCCATATTCTTTATAAATACTCTAATCTATGAATCCAGCCAATTGTGGCTTATTTAACAAACTATGGTTAAAGCCAGAGTTGTACAATCTGAAACCTTAGGACCCAAAGCCTTAGGTGTGGCTAGTTAATCTTTAAAATACAAATACTGGGAGAGAGATCTCTGTACTAAGGACAAAGAGAGAAACATGAGTAGTACCCCAATCGCTGAGTAGCGTTGCTCTTCTACCTGCTGCTTAGGCTCTATATTTCAATGGCTGTGAGCAAAATGAGTTCAGAGCAAAATATCTGGGTCAATTGTTTCCCAGTTGAGTATAGACAGCTCTGTGTGATACCCAGCTCTGCACATCTGTTCATTTATTTGATATTTATATGCATCCCATTTCCATTTTGGAGCTCTTGGTGGCCTTTTTTTCCCCATTACCATTGATGTAGGAAAGTAGCCTTCTTCTCATCGTTCAAAAAGCCAGTTCTGGAATGTGCCATCTTGCTAGCCTGCCTTTCCTCCACCTGATGCCTCTAGGTATGTTGCAGCTACAACTCCCAGTACTCCCAGCAGCACGGCCACCCTGTCTTGGAATTGTAGATGCATCACTTCTAGAATGTAGCAGGTTAGAGAAGGTGGGATTAATCCTCGGGACCTGATCAACCGTTTCTTCCAACCACCTGGAGGTGCTCCAGTTTCTTCCATAGACGGGCCCAGGTTGGGGAAAGTTGGAGCAATATTTATTATTTCTTATACATAAGGAAGCTGAGATTCAGAGCCAACAAAGGGATGATTCACATGTAACATCCTGGTTTAGTTTAAGCCTTTTGAGTTCTTTCCTGCCCAGCCTGCATTTCTGTCATACTTTCTTCCTAGCCACCATTCCTATCTTTATGTAAAATATGGTTGCTGTTTCTGCCAAATCTGCAAGTTACTTGTCTTTACAATAAGAAAGGAAGAAATTGCCATGTGCAGGAAGAGGAAAGTGCAAAGGAACTGGGCCTGTTTCAAGTTCATATGTGAACCCTTCCAAATTCTTATGTGTAGCACCCCATCACGCTTTCACATTAATGCTGAAATACCTCATAGCACCAAGAACATCCCTCAAATGGTTGAGTGACTGAAAATTCCACCGACATGAATAAACCCTCAGTTTCATCTGGTAGCTCGTGCTCCTTGTTGATCCAAGAATAACCCAACCATTTTGACTTTTGCTGGGCTCGTGGGACTTCTATTTATTTATTTATTTTGGATTTACATCTTGGGAAAAAAATTAAAACCACAACATATGTAATTTCCTCAATTCAGGCAAAGGAAAACATTTACTCCAGAGAATCTCTTCCCACTACTTTGCAACAGCGCATTTCTGCAGGAGAACTTAATGTTGTCTTTTCTTGCCCCTTGTGACTCTTCCTTTTTTTCTTTCTTGCTTGCTTGCAACTTAAAGGCGCAGTGACTTCATCTCTTCTTTCCCAAACTCTACTGGAAAACATTGGCCATGGTTACAAACAGTTATTAAAATACAGCTTTGACATTTTTTTCCTGGCTAGCTCCTCTGCCTCCTATAAAGCACAATGAGCTTTAAGACAAGCTCAGGCTTTGACATTAGGGGCAAGTCCACCCTTCCCGCTTGCTCCAGTGTGAGTCCAAACCCTGCCTGCTGTTTTTTGGAGACAAGAATGTATGACGTTGTTCCCAACCCCATCCCACCCCAGGCTGCAGCAAATGCAACCTCCACCCTGTTTTCCTGCATTGCCTCAAAACCAGGGGTTTCCCGCTTTCTGGTAGAGGTGGGGTCACCACTGGTTTGTCTGTTGGGCTTCACTGGATTATTGGCAACTGTCTGGGCTCTGATTGGCCAATGTGCCCTGCCCCAAGAATGCTCCTTCCCCCCTGGGCCCCGCCCTCTACTGCCATTTCTCTTGGGCTGCTGAATTGCATCCCATTCGGAGGGCACTTTCCCAGGGTTAACTGACCTGGTCATGTGTGTGGTGTGAATATAGCCTCTTATTCTTCCTGCTGGTTACGCATTGTCGAAATAGCTCTTTGCCTTAGTTTATTACTTATATATATTCAGAAAGCATAATACTGTTTACAAAGCTGAAGCATTCAGAAGGCACACATAGGCAGGCAGAGCAACCAGCTTTAAAATAAAAGTTCCTGCATTGCCTTTTCTCAAATTTGTCTCCCTAATTTCTGATGAATCTATTACTCCAACTGTGCTCCAGTAGTGTGGTAGATACCATGTTTGCCTTATATATGAATAGTTCCCAGTCTGAAACTGGCCAAAACCTACTTTAAAATATATACACACACACACACACACACTCACTCACTCACTCACTCACTAATATATGTATATATGTGTGTGTATGTATGTGTGTGTGTGTGTGTGTATGTGTGTGTGTATATATATATATAGTCTTATATATATAAAGTCTCTCTTTCCCTGAGCTATCCACTTCACCACTGGGCTTTTCTTTTTCTTTTTCTTTTTCTTTTTCTTTTTCTCTTTTCTCTTTTCTCTTTTCTTTTTTTTCAAGGTGGTGGTGGGGTTTTAATCCGTCTGCTGGTAGACTGTTGAAATGTTGGGGCTTTCCTTTTCTTTTTTTGACCCCAGGTAAATGCAGTGGCAAGTCCTTAGCAGCACTTATTCATTTGGGCTATTTCAGAGCTGAAGTAAAACTTTTCTACCTCAAGGGTATGAATGAGTGAACCATCCACTGGTGAGCTGTTTGTTAAATGGATGGCTCAAGGAAAGAAAAGTAGCAATTAAAAAGTTTCTGTCTGGTTTCAAATCCAGAATCTTTTGCAGATGATGCAACCAAGATAACCACAGACTACCGGGGCACCATTACAGCTGTAGCTAGGGCAAAGAACTGAAAATAACCCTGTAAAAATGCAAGAACAGCACTTTATTTTAAAGCTGACTCCTGTCCCTGCATATGTGTGTATTTTAATGCTTTAACTCTGTAAACAGCATTACGTTTTTCAAAATGTATATATGTGTTAGGGTAACCCTATTTCTATATGTGTGGGCTGTTCCTTCATGATTAAAAAAATGTTATATTGTACCAGTGCAAACATTGGGATTCTTGTTCCTCAGTGGCCCCATTTTGGTTATAGTCGTGCTGATGTTCCCCACTTAATTTTGCAATTAGACTGTGATCTCTGCCTTTGAAATACCACTGAAAGAAAATTGTCCTTCCTCTTCCTAGTTGCTTGAGAATTTGCTGTGCCTCAGCATGGAATTGGGATGCTGATTAATAAAATATGGTTTCACTACTGATTAATATACTCTATTTAGCCTGATTTGATGGGTAAATATTGGCTAAAGAACCTAATACAGGGAACAGAAAATGTTCTAGTTATCTGGACTCCTTTAGCTTTGATTCCATCTTGCACACCCTCCTCTTACCCATGGGCATACATGGGGGGGGGGGAATCACATCATGTCTACCATGATGCCACCATGCAACTAATGTCATTTGTGTATTGCATCATTTGCACAATGCCATTATGGTACATGTGACATCATTGTGGCCTTTTCCAGACACCGATGCTCTTATCCTTCACTGGTCTTGGAGGTTTTTATTGATTTATTGCCTTGCCTCATTCATAGAAATTTCCAGGAAGACCAAACAACATCATCTGTCATTGGTAATTCTTCTACATTTCCCCTTTACCTCCACCACGTGAGGAGAGATGCAGTTACTACACACTGAGTTCACACCTTACACAAATTCCTTAATGATAATTTAATGTTAAACCACAGTTAGTTGGTTCACATGACATGGCAAGCCACAACCAAGCCAAGCTTCAATGGTAGGATTCACTCAACATGCTAATCCAAAACCAAATAAATCACATTATGACTTAGCACATGTGTGAATGAGGTTATTATCTTCGAGTGATAGACCTAAAAACTGTCTTTCCAGAAGCTTCCCATATTTTCTATCCATGCGCTTACCATGATATGATCAAAAAATGGTTGTGAATTCTCCACCAGATGATACTATAATGCAGAGAAGCATGTTTCTCTTCCTTTTGCATCTATACTTCATGCAGGGCCAGAGTTCAATTTCTGACTTCTCTATAGAGAAATACAAAACACAATATAGCTTACTGTACACTCACTGCAACACAGGATATTTAAGACAGACCTTTTGTGACTTTCAGGACCTTTGAAACTAGCCTATTGGCAGCTTAATGCTGGTAAATCATTCCGGTTCTATATAATTAACAGCATAAGTCTGTCAGAATCTTCTCAGAAGTAGGTCCCATTAAGTCAAACAGAGCTTGTTTCCAGGTAGGAGAATTGCAGCAAGCTTAATGTTTAATTGTATTAATGGGGCTAAATAGGAATGATTACAGTAATATATTCTGATTTAAAGCCTGGATGTAACCCAATCAGCAATTTCTGCTATGAAAACTTTCCTGAAATTAATGACATTTACATAAATGTATTGCATTACCTTGTAGAGGAATCTGAATCGGCCTCCTTGTTTTCTTCTGTTCTTTCTCTGAAGTTTGGAAAACAAAGAGATTTTATTCATTTTGGCCAGCAATAAGAAGAGCAGCAGCCTTTCCTCAGGTTTGGCATCAGATGCTACCATCACTCTACACTACTGGCAATGAGTGCAATCCAGTCTACTATACCCTGTGCTAAAATATCTGTGTTTACTTGTCAGGATCCTAGCCCATTGGCTGCTGCAGTTCTGTAGATCATTGCGTGCAAAATGAGAGTTGCTAGATAAGACTGAAAGGAAAAGGTAGCATTTATAGTACATTTGGCCTCTGAGGACCTTGGTTAGTTTCAGATTTTTGTAGGTCAGGGATAGGAGACCTACTGCCTTCTAGATGTTGGGACTAATAACTCACACAATCCTTTACCAGTATTGATGCTGGCACAGGGTTCATAGGAACCGAAGCTCAAAATTCTGGGAGCAACATTTGCCTTCCTTTGCCAAAGGGGCCTCATGGTATTATCAGTATATTAAGGGGAGCAGTCCTTGACTTCTCACTGGTACAGAACAGGAGACAGCAAGCATCACCATTTATTTATTTATTTATTTGGGCTTATGTGCTCCAGTCCAGAAGGCATCTGAGCAGCTTACATTGCGTTCTTTCAGTAAGAAGATTAAAAGAGGAAAACAATATAACAAAAGAGCAGACTAACAATAGCTAATCTGGTTAGGTCCCGTTAATACTG